TTCCGAACAAAAGCGTTCCTGCAAACGCCTGTTTGGCTTTCGAGATGAACTGCCAGAAGTTTATCTCCCACTGCAGCCGCGCTGAAAGACCCTGCTGTACTCGAGGGTTTGCTGCCTTTTCTTCTGGCTTGCAGGAGTAACCTCGTTTTAAACATCAAATCTTTTTCTGTTTTCTTTATTTTTTTTGTTGGTTAGGATTTTGGGGGTTTTTGTTTAATTTGGCCATTACACTTCTGTACACATGAAGCATTTTCTATTGTCAGAAAAGATATTGCTTCTAATCATCCTATTCTTGGCATCTCTAAATCATAATTCACTTTTTAAGGGTTGTTAAAATCATAAACCTGTTGATGTAGGCCGGGTCTGTGCCACCACTGCCAGGGCCCCTGCATTGCAGGGGACTGTCGGAAAGTTAACGTGGGTGAAACTTCAGATAACATGGCCTTGAATCCCAGAGGATGTGTGGCTGATTTGAATACAGGGTACGACGCTTCGCTCACATTCAGATGTGTTTTCCCCTTCAGAAACTCTACGTCTTCCTCTTCCAAGACATCCTGGTTTTGACCCGGCCGGTCACTCGCAACGAGCGTCAGGCCTACCAAGTGTACAGGCAGCCGATCCCTGTCCAGGAGCTGCTCCTCGAAGACCTGCAGGATGGCGATGTGAAAATGGGAGGATCCTTCCGAGGAGCCTTTGGCAATTCCGATAAAGGTACGGACCAAACCAGTTCATCTGTGCGGTGGCGTTCATCTGTTGGTGAGGAGAGATTACACCTGGGCATAGATCCCCGTGGACCGAGGTTCCCTTCGGATAGCAGACGTGTGACGTGTTAACGTCCACCTTTAGACTGTCACCGCTGGGCTTTGCAGTTTTGTATTTGGTGGCCGTGAACTTACATATGGCACTTTGCAGCTGGTGCTCAGATTAGAAAACATCTGTTTCAACACGTTTTTGTGGGGCTTGGGGAGTTTTTTTGGTGGGGTTTTGAACGCTTTCCCTGAAGCAGAGCAGGGCAGTCCAGGTTGCTTGTCTAGCAAGGGAATCTCTAAATATTGAGCTAGGAACTGATCTGCTTTTTCCTATGTTTATCCTCAGCTAAAAATATCTTCCGAGTTCGTTTCCAAGATCCCTCCCCGGGCCAGTCCCACACGCTGCAGGCCAATGATGTCTTCCACAAGCAGCAATGGGTTAATTGCATCCGAACCGCCATCGCTCCCTTCCAGCGGACTGCTGCCGCAGCAGAGCTGAAGGAGCTGCCAGAGCTGAGCGAGGAGTCGGAGGAGAACAACCCCTCCGCGCCCAACATCAAAGCCCAGAAGAGGCAGTCTGCCATGTCTGGCGTAACCGAGATGGAGCTAGACGAAAGCCCATCCGAGTGCGGCTCCATCCTGGACTCGGAGGAAGCCAAGGGCCTGAAAACGCACAGAACACCGTCTGGGCACAGAAAAACGAGGGAGAAGCAGCTAAGCGGCAAGCAGAAAGAAACGCTAGTGTAAAGAGGAGCCCAGCAACATCCTGGTGGAAGACTGTTTATTTATAAATAACGTGTACATTTTTCTTGTAATGTGAGCATGATTGGATTCACTCTACTGAACAGAATATTTCTTTGGGTTTTATGTTGTAATGGCAGCTACTGGTATACAGTTAACGCTGTTGAACTGGAGTCTGTTTTTACAAACGCGGCCACTTTGAACCTGGTTTTAATGCTGTGAGTGATTCGGAAGCCCTCGTGCTTTTGACTGCCCGTGGCAGATTTGAAGAGCACACTTTGGTGCCTGAAAGATTGCCACGCGCGGTGCTTGAGGCTGGAAAGCAGTAAAGCTAAAGGGGAAGGCTGGGCCGTCACCGCGAGCCTGGCAGCACCTCCCTTTGCAGGGGGTTTGGATCAAGAGTCCTTCTAAAGTGGACTCGAAACCTGAATTCACGTTTTCTTCTTGTCTTGTACAGCGCATGGTTCGCGGTGTGCGGTTATCATAACCCATGCAACTCTTCATGTTGAAAAAGGAGAAAAAAAAACAGACCCCAGGTTCAACAGGTTCTCAATTTACCTACTGGAATCTTTCATCTTAGTGTGTCCTTTGTACATTCCTCATTTTCACTCTTGTAACCTGCCAGATATTTAATTTTTTTATTAGTTGTTTTGTTTCAAGTTTGTTTGGGGGTTTTTTTGTTTTCTTTTTTTCTTTTTCTTTTTTTTTTTTTTTACTTTTGTATTTTGTTGTTGTTGTTCAGACTTGGCATTTCCTTTCAAGTACTTGATCCTTCTTGCTCTGAGGTGTGCGTGTACATACTGTTTCTCACGTCACTCCACAGTTCTGCGGAGCGCAGGCAAGCCACAGCGTTACGAGCCGGCGGCTGGGAGGAGACGCTCAACGTACCCCGTTACGATGGGCGACATAAATGGCTTGTGCGCGCTCCGGACTACTGAAAGAGAACTGCATTGCTAACGGGGTTTAGGAAGGTTTTAGGCACGTTGTAAAGGGTTTGGGGAGGGAAGAGGAGCAAGGTAGAGGGGAATAGCAGGGGGCGAAGGTAGATTTTCTTGTTACTGTTGCCTTTTGGAAATGAAACGCCTCCCACAGGGAGGCAGGACTGGAGGCAACCAAGGGGTTATTGCATGTGGTAGAAAGGTAGAGAAAAGAAAGCGTTTGAAGCTGATGAGGTGTAAGGACAGAAGAGATAGTGGTTGTATATACTCGTAACGGCGACACTGCCATGTTCTAGCGGTCCAAAGATTCGTGTGAGGGGGTGCCAGCGTGGTAACTGTGCTGCAAAGCGTCGCAGGAAACAAAGCGGTGACAGATTTGAGCAAAGCCGACAGGTTCTTCCTGTCAGTCGACTGGAGGCGATGGGGCGAGGACAGCGATCCCGCGATACCCCTCCTCGAGCCTCACCTGAAATCCGTGGTCTGAGCACTGTAACTCGGGTGTGAAGGGTTATTGCCTGTCACGTGTTTGGCCAGTAATGTTGGAAACGGGAAGAGGGTGTACATAGACACAAACGTGTGGTTCTCTGTAAATGTATTGTACAGTTTTGAGTGCCAAGTACAATTAAATTCCTGACAGCCTCTTGCCTGCCTCGTCTGAGTCGCTGCCATGGGTGCTGCCAGACGGCAGCAGATAAGCACGTACCTGCGCTTCTCCAAGCACACGCAGCTGGCCTACCGCCGCACACTCCGGGCGTAGGGCCGTAGCTCGCACGAGGAAGCCGTGGTTTTATTCAACACCCTTTTTCTGTCACGGTTCCTCTTTGCACCACTGCAGCCGGAGAGGAGACGAGCCGGCGGTTTTACAGCACCGTGTGCAGCGTGGGGCCCGGCAGCCACCGCCCTTCGGGTGTGACGGGCGGTCGCTGTAAAACAGGGCACAGCTGCCTGACTCACTCCAGCGCTTGCATCACTCTCCTCCGTTTCTGGGGGAAAAGGGATCGGTGGCAATAATCCCTGCCCTCCCGGGGCACCGAAACCTCCTTCCTACAGAAAAGAAACCACCCCGCAGAACCGAAAGGCTCCCCATTTAGCAAATGTTTTCAAATCCTCTCCTAGGCGAACCTTCCGAAGCAGCCCTGAGCGGAAGGGGGACGCCACGGGGCAGACTCCCCTCCACCGGGGCAGCTTCCCCAGGGCGGTGGGGAGCACCCGGTTACAGCAGCGTGACGAAACCGTCGGGTCTCCGCAGCCCTCCCGAAAGCCGCGGCCTGACCATGTAGGGCGGTGTCTGGGCAAGACTGCGGCTCCCCCGGGGGGAGGGGCCCCGGCTCCACACCAGCTCCCTCGGGGCTGGCCGCGCTCCCCTGGGTCCCCCGCTGCGCCCCCGGGGCCCTGCTCGGGAGTGAAGGCACGGCTCAGTTTGCAGGGACAGGGTTTACAGCTGAGCTTTGACCTGTGAAGCTGAGTTTTGATCTGGAGGGGACTCGGCCCTTCCCAAGCAGGGCGAAGCCAGAAAAAAGGCTCTTTTTGCCAACAAAAAAAAAAAACGGGGGGGGGGGATTTTT